TTTATAATTAAAAAGATAATTTATTCCTAACTTTTTAAAAGTAGATGTATCACTGCCAAGTTGAGGAAAATTTAAAGGTTTTGCCGTGGTTTACCCAAAGATATTCGACTTTGGGTTGAGATTGTTTATGCTTCCATGAGTTGCATATTTGGACTTCATAAATTTTTTTTATTTTTTAATTAATTTATAAATAATTATATTATATTAAAAAAATAACTATATTAATAACTCAGAATAACAGGGAGAGAGATGAGAGAGGAAAACAAACCAAGAGTTGTGTGGTTATAACTTATCACTATGAGGTAATAACTAATGAGAGAGGGTGCCTTTATCTTTTTTCTAGTATTGAAATGGTGAGATTTTTTTACTTAATTAAAGTGTTAAAAAGAGGTTTTTAGCTATGAGTGACTAATGAAAGTTTTTTTAAAGGTTATTAAAAATTTTTAGATGTGTGAGAGAAAATTCTTTTATGAAAAATTAAGTAACAGTTATTTAGAAAGATTATTAGTTCTTAGAAGAGATTGAAATTGGGTTTCTACCATGACTCTTTCTTAATATTAAATTTTTTCTCTTCGTCTCTGTGATTTCCCCTCACTTGAAAAGCTTTTTCACATTAAATTGAGTATTCCTTTTTCATATTATTTTGTTTTATTATTTAATCCACTTGCGTGATTTTGTGGTTATGATTTTTATCTATTGATCTTAGTGATAGTTACATTCCAACAATAGTATCACAGCTTGGAAGTGGGGATTTATCCTAAACACCCTCTAATTATTTTTATTTTAGCATTTAGATTACAATTAGACTCTAATCATACGTTTGGATTGAAAAAAATAAAAAAAAATTTATCATTTCATTTTCTTTTATTCCCTTCCATCCTTTTTTCTTTATTTGGATAAGTAAATAAAATTAAAAAAAAAAAAAAAAACTTTCCCACTTTTTCCATTTCCTCCAATTTTTTTGATAACAAAAAATTTTTTTCTTTCATTTTCTCAATCCAAATTTACTATCATATTCGAAAGGAATTTTTTATTATGTATCCTTAAAATACAAATAAAATACAATAAATATATTTTTTTATAATTAATGCATATAAAAAAATAAAAATTAATTTAAATTTAATTAATTAATTAAAATTATTTATATAATAATATTATTAAAATAAAAATTAATTATTATTATTTTTTACATAAATTAATTAAAAAATATATTTATTATACCTTAACTTATGTTTTAACGACATAAATTAGACAAACCCTGTTCGGAAAAGAAGTGGAGATTTCTTCGTGGATTATTGAGACATTGCAGATTTGAGGTTAATTTAATTCCAAAATCCAACGAACTAATCGACCTCACCAATGACTTCATCAGTAGTGTCGGTGCGTTTAGTAGAGAATTCTCAGCCGTTCAAGTGGGGAGACAATAGAAAACAAAGACCCAAAGTCAAAAAGTGCATGCGCAGGTGCTTGGAATTTCATTGCATTCTTGGACCTCTTTCTTTTTTCATTTTTTGATTTTTTGATTTTTTTTAATTTTCAGAGTTTCAATTTCTAGACGCAAACATACTTAAGCTAAGTCAAGCATCCGTTCTGCACTCCTAGGTCAAGTGTTAATCACTTAGTTTTTAGTAAAAACACTACTTCGAGTTTGATGTTTAGTTCCTGGGATCACTTTCCCCATTCCGATAGTATGGTAAGAATATTTATTAAAAAAAAATTTTCTTGTCCAAAAAAAAAAAAAAAAAAGTAGTCTTCTTTTTCTGTTTTTGGGTAAATCCCTTTACTTCAGAAGATCAAAAGGTTATGTTTTTTCTTTAGAGACAGGAATCGTGTTGTTCTAGCAGCAACTTTCAACACGGCAACTTGGAGTACAATAACTCTACATATATAAGCACATATGTGGGAGCCTTTACTACATTCAAGAGGAAATATCAGAACCGCCTAATGTAATAAATGTCAACTTCCACCATTTCTAGCTAGCAGTGGAAGCCATATTCAATGGCTTGTTATTGCATTCATAGTTATTTTTGTTGTAACAAGAGTTAGCTGATTAAAAATATAGTGATTTGAACTTTTGAATTTGATCACAAATCAAATTTTTTATATTATAGGTATTAAATCAATCAAACCCTTGTTGGTACATAGCAAAGTCTCTATGCATTAGACATCAATCTGAAATTTAAGTATACATATAGTAACTTAAGCCACCAGGGCTTCTAATTAGTTGCGCCATGATCTGAAGAAGAAATCCTATGGGCTAGCTGGTCTTCACCTTGCTCTTCTTGCTCATCTCTAAGTCCTTAAGGCCCATGATCAAAAGAAGAAAGCTTATGGGCTAGCTCGTCTTCATAGCCAAAGCACGCCTCTTGCAACCATAATGTGTGGGTTTCCTTAGTCCTTCCCATCTAAAAGCCCCGTTCTATATATGGCTCCATGTAGTTTAAACCGCAAAAAAAAGGGGACTATTGTACAAATTAATTAAGCTTTCACCACTGGAGTTGACCTTTCTGACTGTCATTACCGGCCACCTAATACTACAATTCGGTTGTGAGCTGGCAAGTTTCTAACGGCGTCGTTTTAAGCCGTCAATTCAACTTTGTCTTCAGTAGAACCCTCTAAAAGCCTTCCAATTATTTGTCTTTCAAACTATTAACCCTTTAACATGCATTTTAGGTGTTTCAACATATAACTTCAAATTATTATTATAATTGGTCTAAAATAAAAAAAATTTCATTCTATGATTGTCTCTATTTCATTACTTTATCCTTGTTAGCATTATGCTGACATAAATATAATCCATTTGTACTCATGGAGGCTAAAAAATCTTGCTCAAAGCACATGAGTCTCATGTTGTTAGGCATAATTTTTCCACTTCATGGGTCCACGTGGACTGTATTTCTATCTATTTTAAACTGATTACCTTGCTAACGTGAGGTTTATAGGTTAAAATACATAAAGCATAGGTTGAAGGACTAATAGTCTTGAAAACAAACAATTGGAGGGCTTACGAGGGGTTAAGCAGCCTTTGTCTCTCCCCTATCCAAAGGTTGAGAGAACCAAAAATAAAAGACTACAATCATTGTGGTTTTTGCTACAAAAAAGAATTTACGAAAGGAAAAGCTAAAGCAACATGTGACAAAGGAACCACTCCTTCAGATAATGAAGAGGGCCTTATCATCTTCTGAAGAATCCAATACAAAAAGACATAACCTCTTACATCACTAAAATGAAAGAAAAGTATCAGCAAGATTCTATGTAATCCACTTTAGTAAAAGTAAGAAGTAAGTCTAAACCATCAAACAATAATGTAAATTTTAAATGTTAGCAATGAAAAAAGAAAAGATTCCAAGGTGCGCTATAAAAAGCTTCCTATAAGTTGTAACAAGTATCTGGTATTTGAACATCCAAACACCTTACTTGAGAGCCTTTTATCATGCATTTGTAAACATCCTTCAAGAGGAAAGGGAACTTTCCCTTTCTCTTCTTGAAAAAAAAACATATTTTAGAATAATTCTTGTGTTTCGATCCTTCCTTATTTTCATCTCGATCCTTCCTTATTTTCATCATAAAATATAAAGAGAAGAATTCCTGAAGAAATTTAGGCAATAATGAAGTCACTTGTCCTGTTTGGATACCCATTATAGCCTGAGTGTTGTGTTGAGGGTTGGATGAAGGAAGCATTAACTTGACCGACGACTAGAATAAAGGATTTTCAAGCAAAATTTAAACTCATTTATTTTATCATGTGGAAGTAAGGTGGGCATAGAAACAATTTTATTATTCTTTAACATTAGATTATTTTTTAGATTAGAAATGATGGAGAAAAAG